GAAAGGCAAAAGCCAGTTCGACTTACTTCATGAGAATATCATAATACTCGGGATCAAGATAGGAGAACAAGCTATCCACATCTTTTATGGCCATTATTGCTCTATGCACCACTATCCAATTTGCAGACTTAAAAAAAATAAAAATTAAATTAAATTAACATCACTTGATCCCAGATCAAAATCAAACCAAGAAAAATCAATACCCAGAATTCAACAATTACCGATCCAAAATATAATACGCAGACATAGAATTTGACATCTGACCTTACAGCGCTCATCTTGGGTATTGGGAGGGGAGCCTTCCAGAGCTGTCTTTAAAGCCTCCACGGGTTTATACCTATAAAAAAATGAATCAGTTATTCTCTTTAAAGAAAAAAATGAAGAAACAGACAGCGTGCACAATGATCAAGAAATACTGTTTGAGTAAGCTTTCAATTTTGCGGGATTTATGTTCTATTCTAGTGATAATGGCTTCCGCGTTATCGGCTTCCACGAATTCTGCCATTTGTTTATTCTCAAGAGCGACAGTGAATCACAATGTGATCTGGGTCTTAAACATTGACGGGGTATGCGATTGGCCTCTTGTTTGAGCAAAGAACAGCCGCTCCGCTCCTTCGCTTTGCCCAGATTTGGTTAAGCAAAAATTTATTGTAAAACCTGAGGATTTTTTTTTTCGGGTTAGATAGCATAGAGTTACATGTTTCATTGACACGGAACTTTGCACCTCGTCACGGCTTACTTACTGAACTTAATGAAACTTTTCAATGGCCGTCAAACTTAACTCCGTTGCATTAAATTGGTCACTGGATGGATTCCGTCCGTTGTTGTATCTATGTGGAGGATGAAAAGGTGACACGTCAATTAAAATTCTCCGCATGTTAAGTAACTTGCACATGTAGACGCCAAATCACCAAACAAACCCTTATCCAAATGAAATTAAAAAATACCTTCAACAAATTAACTCCATAATCCTTCCCTCATCTCTACCCACCTTGAAACCCAAAACTAAATCCGTACTTCATCATCGCCTTCTTCCATAGCCACTTCATCGTCGTCGACGACCGCCTTTAAAACAAAAACACATCACTTGCCAAACAACCGCAAAATCTTACAGCAAAAGCAAAATTTTGGATTCATGACTCGAATTCAACTTACATTCATCTCAAACCACCTAATATTCGCATCGAACACTGAAGTGTGATCCAAATCGATTCACTCATTATGTCCAACTCTTTCTGATCAGTTGTTGATTTTCAAAATTTTAACAACAATTGATTCATTTCCACAACCGTACGACGCTCATTTTTAGAATCAAAATACACACATCAATAAGACTCTAAAATTACTCAAGCAATACAATGAAATACTAGAATTGGAGGGAATTTTCAGCTTTCGAAGTGGGGCTAATGGCAAGATACTTTGAAGAGGACAAAGTTAAGAGTGGTATGGCAAATATGAAATTTCACAATGAGCACAAAACTAACTATTATAAGTAAAAGAATGAAACAAAAAACACATGGACACAGAGCTGCTGTTAATATGCTTTCCATGAATTCATCAACCTTGAATCATTACGATTTTTTGGTGATGGTGTAGAGTATAGTTTGATGCTACTAAAGAAGGTTTGTCATTTATGGTGGTATTTTGTGAAGGGCAGCGACAACGACGACGAAGTGGCTGTAGATTTGGTTTTGGGTTTAGGGAGTTGGGATGGGGGTAGGGAAGTGATTTGGAGTTAATTTGTAGAAATTATATTTAATTTCATATGGATAAGGGTTTTGATTTGGTGATATGGAGTCCACATGTGCAAGTCTCTTAAAATGTGACAAATTTTAACCGCCACATCACTTTTTCGTCCTCCATGTAGACACAACCATAGACGAAATCCATCCGGTGGCTAGTTTAATAAAACGAGGTTAAATTCAGTGGCCATTGGGAAGCTTCGTTAAGTTCAGTGGGTAAGTCGTAACGAGGTGTAAAATTTAGTGGCCAGTGAAACTTTTAACTCGATCGTTTAAGGATACAAAGAAAAAAGAAAATATAATTAGTAAATTACTAAAATATCATTTTATGTAAAAAGAATAGTGCTCTAATTCACCTTTCAATTTTCATTTAGCCCTAATTCAATTTTAGCTTCCTTTCTTCCACAGTCGGGTCAACATCTCTTTGCAATTATTCTCATTTTCTTATCACCATCTCTCCGTCATGAACCCTAAAATCTATCATTATAATTTCCTTATTTGATTGAAATGAGTAATAAAAGTTTACAATATTTTTGTTGAGCATTTGGAGAAGAAGAGAAGGTAATGTTAAATTTAAATATTTGAGTTTCTTTCTTTTTCAATTTTTTGAATCATTTCTTCATATTGTTGTATTTTGTGTTTATAACGTTCATTTGTCAATAATAGCATTGAATTCATTTTATTATTGAATTAGATTTTTGATATGGGTTGCTTTTCAATCTTTTTTATTACCCCTAATTTTTTAAGTGAATATGTTGGTAGACACGTGTTTGGCTATTCTATTTGTTGTTCTACTGTGAAACATATATTTCATTTTTCTCCTACTCAGAATGACTTACGTATCGTTTTCTGTAATCCATAAAGACATACATCTCATCGACAATAATGTACGAAATATGATGAAATTTTAAAATTTTAATGTTGGATTGCAGTTATGGACACCCTGGATACTTTATGGATTCAATTGTTATCTAGTTGAATATAAGCAATAGGTTGAAAGTGCTTGAAAATGGAAATATGCATGGAATGACAAAGGGATAACAACGCTTATTCTTATTTTGAAAACAATTTCTTTTGTGAACTTGTATGATAAAGTCAAAGAAATGTTGAAGGTCGATACAATGCTATACAAAATGGAGATATCAATTCTTGTTCTTATAATGTCTAAGGCTCCAACTGTGAGAAAATCGATCATGTTTGCTCCACTTGTAAGGCCAAACAACTCATAGCGAAACTTAAAGATGTAATATTGTCGTGGCTTATATCTTTAATAATTTATATTTATTAAAAAAATGATTTATTAGATTTTGTAGTCACCGTGCTATCATTGCTTTTGTGCTATAGGAACAAAATTAAAGTCATTTTATTTTGTTGTGTTTTCTTTTTCACATTATAGACAAAGCAATTTTATATCGTTTATAGTTGATGCATATGTCGTTCCAATGTGAAAAATGTATGGATTCATCTAACAACTATGAAATCGTTCTTGAGATACAAAACAATGTTGATGTTGTTCCAGTACGAAAATTGCACTAATTAACACAATAACATTAAAATCATTATTGAGATACAAAATGAAATTGATGTTGTTCCAGTATGAAAAAACACTACTTTACTAATTTTCATAACAACATTGAAGTCCTTATAGACCAAGAAAACGACATGAAAATCGTTATATAAAAAACTTGAGCAATGCACGCGACATAAAGAGTCGTCCCTTGCTCGTCCAAGTGACCGTTTGCTCTCTCGTGTGGTAAACAACTCAAAAGCACACACGCAAACCAAATTTTCTTTAGGTTAAGTTTCAGTCCGTAAACTTTCGTCTTTCATTCCATGGAGACATTTTCTTATGCATTTTTTAAAAAATAACAACAAATCATAAGTAATTAACTCACGAAATAACATAACGACATCCATACTAGTTTAGTACAAAATTTGACAAGATAGAAATTGTTCCCGTCCAAATAATAACTAAAACGACATAGATATCGTTTTCCTTAATATGTAACGATATTTATATCATTATGTTTTAAGATCTTGTTTGACCCACATTTTTTCAAATTAAAATGGGTGGAATAGTATTTTTTGAAAAATGAGTGGTTAAAAAAGAATAAGAAGTTTTCAATTTACATGTAATATTATTTTATGAAAAATTGTGTGATTGAAAATAGAAGAGTGAAAAATGAAATTTAATTTAATGGAAACCAAACGGGGGCTAAACTCATGAAATAATATAAAGATATTCATATTTTTTCAGTACGATTTTTAGTTAGAACGATATAGATGTCGTTATAGTATTTCGTGGGTTTGATTTATAACTACATCATTATCGTTTCAATATAATTTTGACAACATTGATATTGTTTCAATCTATATAAAATCATAATTATATTGTTCATGCTAAAAACGATGATTCAACCGTCCATGGACACCCGACATGCACACGACATACATAGGACAATCAAAATAAGTCATCAAGTGGTTTCAATCTCACTCAAAAGAAACTATATTCCAATGATTGTGTACAACTTTCAAACTATTCCAACAGAAAGAAAGTTTCTTCATTCGCTTTTTTTTTTTAAACCATTCGAGTGGTATCAATCCACTTGCTGACCTCTTTCGATCTTTCTACGTATGTTGAAGGCAGGCAAGATAATTGTGAATGGTCGAACCATTGTTTTAGCCGAAACGACATAATCATCATTTTATATTAAAAGAAACGATATAAATATCATTGTAGTTATAATTTGAACTAGAACAATTTCAAACTCGTCAAATTTGTACCAAAACAATATGGACGTTGTTATGTTATTTTGTGGGTTTGATACATAACGACGTCATTATCATTTCAGTACAATTTTGACGATATTGATATCTTTTCAATTTAAATTATAATTAAAATTATATATATATTATTTTAGTTTATATAAAACGATAACTATATCATTTTTTTCTAAAAACGACGATTCGATTATCCACAACCACCCGATATGCCTCTAACATCATAGGACAATCAAATGAGGTTATCATGTTGGTTGATATCGCTCAAACAGCTTATAAAGAGCAAATGAAGATTCTTTCTTTCTGTTGGAGTAGTTCAAAGGTGCTAGATAACTACAGAAATACAAATGTCCCCGTAGCTTCTTTTGAGTGGGATCGAACCCACTTGATACTCTCTTTCAATCGTCCTACGTATGTCGAAGGTGTGACAGTGTTCGTAGACGGTCGCATCACCATTTTTAATCAAAGACTCAAAATAAATTGGAATGATCTCAAACTCTTCAAATATGTATTGAAATGACATAGATGTCATTATCTTATTTCGTAAAACCTACTCAAAGAAACGACTTCAATGTCGTTTTAGTTATTATTTAAATTGGAACAATCTCAATCTCTTGAAATTTCTATTGAAATGACATGAATGATGTGATGTTATTCTGTAAGTTTGGTAAACGAAATGATATCAATGTTGATGTAGTTAAGATTTGAACTAGACTGATATCACTACTGTAAATATTGTATAGAAACAACATGAACGCCATTATATGATTTCTTGGGTTTGATACATATAGATATTTATATCGTTACATATTAAAAGAAATGAGTTCAATGTCGTTGTGGTTATGATTTCAACTATAAAGATATCAATGTCGTAAATATTTTATTGAAACAACTTGGATGTCATTATGTTATTTTGTAGATTGGATGCATAACATATTAAAAGAAATGACTTCAATATAGTTTTAGAAGTGATTTGACGTGCACATGTGGTCCATGTTGGTAGGCATACGCCTTTGAGTTATTTACCAACCCAAGAGCAAATTGTTCCTTGGACGCGTGTTCATAACACCCTATGTTATGCTCAAAGTGCAAGTTTTTTTTTATCTTTCAAGTCATTTAATTAATTTATAACAACTGCAATAACATTATG